CTTGAAATTTTGGAAAGTTTCCTGACATAATAGATGTGGTCACGGAAAATGTAAACAAACCGGGTGGGGGCGCCGTATTTGAAAGACCGCTTGCCGTATAGCAAACTTTGGTCATAATTTGACATCGCCATATTAGCAGAACACCGTAAGGCAAAACGCCGTAAAACGGGGCCTTACTGTACTGATTTCCAGACTTTGACTTAGGTAGTGGACCTATGCAGTCTATGATTAAATCTGCAAAAGGTTCTCCATCAGCAGGTATAGGTTGGAGAGGTGCAGGTTTAATGGAATGGCCAGGTTTCCCTACTTGCTGACATTCTTGGCAACACCGAATATGATTCTTCACATCCTGCCTTAATTTTGGCCAATAGAATTCTTTTGCGATTCTAACTAATCTTCTAGTAATTCCTAGGTGACCTCCTAATGAAGTACTATGAGCTATATTCAGTATTTGAGGTCTAAACTTTGTTGGAACTACTAACCTGTATGACAGTTGCCGGCCCTCTATCTCCTTACCAGTCTCACTGCAAATCAATTAGTCGTTTTTAAGTTTATACTTGACCGGATGATCCAAAAAGGATTTACCCATGGCTGCCTGAAAAGCGTAATTCAAAGAAGGGTCCTTTCGTTGTTCCTCCCAGGAGGACAGTCCCTCGGGCATGGAAACAGAGATATCTGGCAATCCTGCTACCCTGGAATAGGAAGGCTTGATCTGGGTCTGTTCACTTGATCCACGAGGCCCTGGCCAGTTTTTCTCATAAAACAAATTGGCTATTCTGAGATCGGAGTCATCCAAGGATAGGTCAGCATTCTTGCCAGACAACCCTTGGGATGTTGCCCGAGTTATGGCCAACACCGGAGAGGAATTAATCATTATGGATTCAGGACATACACTAACAGTGGTAATGTTATTACCCAGTAATGACATGGCATCTTTCATGGGGAATCCCTCAGATACACCCACAGTCAAGTATCCAGTGTAATATTTGCAATGGACATAAATTCTGTGCAAGGGGACAGAAAATATAGCTCCTCCAAATGCTTCCAACAGAACAGAGGAATTCAATGAGGTGTTCTTTGAAAGGGGTAATATTCCCTCTCTTATAAGTGAGCAATATGCTCCAGTATCTCTAAAGGCTCTGACTTCAGTTGTTTTTGAGTTTTCCTGAAGGGAAATAAGACTCTGACAGTAATAAGGGGCCATCCTTTTCTCTACTTCTTTCATGGACATGTTACTTGGGATATTATAGATTTTCCCTATGGGTTGGGGTTTGTGGGGGCAATTGGGACGGATGTGACCTAATTTATTACAAAGGAAGCAGACGACAGGTTTGCCCTTAACTCCCTGCTGACATTGCAACTGGTGTCGCTCTGGCTGGTATCTCTCTGGATACTGTTGTCGAGTTACACCATGTTGAGTGGTTTGTCTCTCACCAGGTGGACCATAAGTTGGCTAATGTAGACATTCTTCCTCCGGCTGGCACTTCATCCTCCAAGGTTGATGATCTCTGCTAATGCCAGGCTGTTGAAAAGAGAGATGGGACCGCTCGGACAAGGAGCGGTTAGTTTCAAAGGTATCAGCCAACCTGGCTGCCTCCAATGCAGTGGTTAAGTCACGATCCTACAGAAAGACTCTAACCTCTGGTCTCACAGACTCCAGCAGGTTGTCAACCAGAATAAGCTGCACAAGATCATCGAAGGTAGCAACACCACTTGCTTTATACCAGCTGGTAAAAGCTTTGGTCTGCTGTCGCACAAAATCAACCAGGGATTGACCAAGCTGTCGTCTGCCTAACTTGAAGAATTTTGTGTACTTAGCTGGGATACATGTATATGCTCTCAAAACTGTGGTTTTCACCACTTTATAATCGGAAAAATCAGTGTCATTTAAAACTGACGTAAATTCCTGTGCCTTACCAAACAATGCTGTGTGAACCAACGATGCCCAGTGCTCTTCCGGCCACTTGAAGGCTCGAGCCTGTTTTCGAAACTTTCAAAAAATTGTTCTGGTTCGGCCTCATTGAAGCGGGGAACAAGCTGTACTGCTTTCTGTAAACTAAAGTCATTTACAACTTGCGAGAACTGCCTTCTTTCTTTTTCCCTATCAAACTTTTCCTTGGCAAATGCCCTCTGTTCCCTAGTCTGCTCAAGATTGATCTTCGGCAACTCAAGTGCCAACACCACTGATTCGCCTTGACACAACCCTGCTGTACTAGACTGACGATTTTGCTCCATTGATGTATCATCTTCCTCCTGCGAGAACATCGGAGTTTTATTCCTTGCTCCCGTAGAGGGAGGAGTCTGATGTGCCATCTCATCTTCCTGAAGTTTGTCAGTGATTAGTGAATGCAGTTGTACAGCTATGAGAGTGCGTTCGTAATCAATGCCAATGGAATGAGCAATTTGCCAACAACGCTGTAGGGACAATTTAGGCAAGTTAAATAAAGTATATGCCGACACCAGACGTCTGACTCGTCTAGGTGGCATACCCCAATGTATAAGTTATTTGCTATGCACAGTACGACTGCAGAATTCCCAAACGTAACACGTTATTTGCAGAACACGATTAGCTATGAACAGTACAACTGCAGAATACTTGTACCCAAACATAAGACTTTATTTGCAGGATACGCTTAGCTATGCACAATACAACTGCAGAATACGCACATACGTTTGCACGGTGGATACACAATAGCAAAGCTGACTGCAAAATCTTCATACAAGATTGACCGTAGCGAAGCGAGAGCACCAAACAAGCTAGTAATGAGCTGTTGAACGATCATACAATAGCAAGGCTGACCATAGCAAGGCAATTGGTATGCAAAGTTTGTAAAGCATTGGCAAAACTAATGCAATGCCAGACAGCAAGCTGCACAATGTTCCTGCTTCCAGTGTCACCCTAGGCTCAATTTGTGCTCAAAGTCCAGCTCCAGCTCTCGGACAGGCTACCCATATTACAACCCAGGAGTCCCAAAGGCCTTTTATCCTGGGTGCAAAGGGAGCAAAATAAACACAGCAGAAAAACTTTTGATTTATATTATCCTTCACCAATTTAGAACAGAAGTATGTACACTATATACAACAGCAGGTGTTAGTGCACTCCACGGTAAGCAAGGCAGAATAGAAGCCACTAGAGAGCAGACTGTGCTTCAACCCACTCTAGAATGGGAATGACAAGGGCAGATGGGTGAGTGGTACCCACATCACCTCTGCGATTGCCAAAACCATCTTCTCATTGGCTGGAACCTGGGTACTGATTGAATGACTGGGTCCCATCGTCAACCCTTAGCCCCTGGTTTGCTGGTTGGGGGAGACAGCCTGTCAGTGAGGGTGTGTACATGCGCCGAATAAAGGTTACGTACTCTGCATGCCACAGACACCAAGCAGGCATGTGTGAACATGATATAAAAACAAATGGTTTTTTGGACATGACATGCTATTGGAGCATGAGCAAGATATCATTTATGAAGACATTAGGGAAAGTGGTTAATTGGACTTGAGACCTGGCTGTGGGAAATACAGTGCCTGCACTCTGAAGAAGGGGTGGTGGTGGGGAGTACAGTGCTTGCACTCTGAAGGAAGGGTGGGGGTATGAAGTAAAATGCCTTCACCCTGAAAAAGGGGTGGTGGTAGGAAGTGCAGTGCCTGAATTCTGAAGGAGGGTAGTGGTAGGAAGTACAGTACCTTACTCCAGACGGGTGGATGTGGGAAGTACAGTGTCTCCACTCTGAATGAAAGGTAGTGGTGGGAAGTACAGTGCCTGCACTCAGTTGGAGGGGTGGAGATATTTGCAGTTTGGATGGACATCGGCACTGTAATATCAGCTCACCTCATGCAAGACAGTGATGGAGTGAATGATGGAGAAAGTGTTTCTTTTTTATTCAAATTCAGATTCAAATATTTCTTTGCAAGTTTACAATGATTGACATGTTGTAGGGTGGAGTCGTACTTACATAGAGTTTACATTGTGTAATAACAATAATGTTTTGCAGTGCAAAGAAAGTCACTGTCATGCCTTGACATTACAGGCAGACTAAATTTAATGGGTTACAGACTACTTAATACTAGACAAATAGATCATAGTTAAAGTTGTACATGTTTTTATATATAGCAAACAGTAAATTGACTTAAATTACAATATGGGATTATTACAATGGTGTAAGTTGAAATTAATATACTGGTTGTATATATCAACAGTAAAATGACTTAAATTACAATACAGGAATATTACAATGGGCCATGTTGACAGTATAGTTTACAATATATGATTGTTACAATTGAGTATAAGTCAGAGCAATTTTGTGCAGGTATTGATTTTTTACAAAATAGTTTTAAGTAATGTAATTAACTTTGAGCATCTATTTTGAAGTTTTGAGACTTAGGTGAGTGACACTGTGATCCTTAGCACAGTATGTGGTAATGGAGGTGAATTTGAAAGCAGCTTGGAAGCTGTTTAGTTTTGGGTGAGGTGTTTAGTTTTGAGTGAGTAGGTGATTTCTAAGAAGAGTCTTGAACTGGTTTGCAGAGAGGGGTCCTTTAGTGTTCTCTGGCAGTGAATTCCAAATTTTAGAGCCCTTTTGTGCATAGTGTTTTTGCATGGGGAAAGACGGACACGAGGGATATCAAAAAGCTTTCTGTTTCTTGTATTATGGGTGTGTGTTCTGTTGCAGCTGTCAAGGCAAAGTTTAAGAGGAGGGTTTATATTCAAGTGCAGTGTCCTATGCATGCAATAGGCACAAAAAGTGTGGGTGTTTTGTATATTGAGTAAGTTAAGACTCTTGATTAGTGGTGGAGTATGCTGTCTTGAGTTGGAATTTGTTATCAATCGGACTACTGTTTTTTGTTGGGTTATTAAGGGTCTGAGGTGATTTACTGTAGATGAGCCCCATGCACCTTACCTTAGTGGCAGATGGCTGATGTGTTTAAAAATAATAATTATAATAATTATAATTATAATAATGATTATAATGAAAGACTAAATTTTCAATTTTGTTCTGCAGGTCATCTTGATACCTGCAGGCCATCCTGGTACAAGAAGGTGGCACTTGTAGTGTCAATACTGCAGGTCATCCTGGTTCAAGAAGTTAGCACTTGTAGTGTCAATACTGCAGGTCATTCTGGTACAAGAAGGTGACACTTGTAGTGTCAGTACTGCAGGTCATCCTGGTACAAGAAGTTGACACTTGTAGTGTCAATACTGCAGGTCATCCTGGTACAAGAAGGTGGTACTTTTAGTGTCAACACTGCAGGTCATCCTGGTACAAGAAGTTGGCACATTTAGTACCAATATCAGTGTCAGAAAACTCCTGTAAGTTCTGTAAATACTATAATGTATTATTGCCTCTTATCCTCTTTTACACTTTACAGGATGTCGAGATACAATAAGTTGATGAAAATCTAACTACTTTTCATAGAGAGTCAAGAATTACAAGAAAAATTTATGGCCTGTAATAATATATTGTTCCATAGAACATATCACTTATAAGTTATTAGCTTTTCTCTTGTATCTTATGAGTGCAAGAATATTTACAGAGAACTATGTACATGACCTTAAGGTTTCATTTCCATTCACATGAATAAAGTTACAAGTTCAGAACACTAGTGAATATATCAGATATTGGACTTGGGACATAATGTACAGATAAGTCCCCCAAAAGCATCTACTTAAGTATGATCTAAGGGAATACGGTTCTGTTACAACAGAGGACTTCCAAGCAATGCACCTTGAGCTGTAGACCAGCTGCTGCTGCCAGTAGTGGGGAGGGGTGACCTGACATAAGGTAGATCACGTGACGTACTTTGAGGCAGCTCGGGTTAACCAGAGACTGGTCGTTACACTAGTGTTTGACAACTGTTACACCTAACATGAGATTTTAAAACCACTGAGAATATACAATAATTTTACATGATTCCTCTAAGTAATTTTTATTGACCACAGATAATATTATACAGTCGGACTTGCTTATTTTAGCTACTAATAAGGAAGTTTGCAATATGATATTAAGTGATATCAGCTCAAAGCAATGTGGAAGGTGACTAGGCATATCAGTAAATATAGTGAGAACACTAACTACAGTGCTAATACAATGACATCTCTGATTATGATGTTTATGCAGTGACAACACTAACTACAATGTAATTCAGTGAAACACTGACTACAGTGTTAACCCTTTCAGGGTTTCTGATGTACTAGTACAGCTTACGCACCAGGGTTTTTGACATACTAGTACGCCTAAATTCTAGCGCCCTCAGATCTAGTGAGAGAAAGCTGGTAGGCCTACGTATGAAAGAATGGGTCTGTGTGGTCAGTGTGCTCAGTATAAAAAAAATTCTGCAGCACAAAGTGCGTAATGAGAAAAAAAAACTTTGACAGTGTTTTTGGTTTAAAACAAAGACTTTGCACTGTATTTTTGTATGGTATTTATGATAGTATTCTAGTTTTCCTGGTCTCATTTTATAGAATGGAAGACATGTTACAGAAATTGAGACGATTTTGATTGATTTTACAATAAAAAGTACCTTGAAATTGAGCTCAAAGTAGCAGAAATCTTCGATTTTTACCGAAGTTCAAAAGTAAACAAATCATGCTATGCGTCCAATACACGTCAACTGGTGAGTCTGATATTCTTTCACAAGTATGGTGATATTATTTATACCATTTCTACACTAATGCAGTAGTCTGCATAACAGTAAATCTTCTATTTTTTGTGAGAAAAAAAATTCCAAATGGAAAGCAAAAGAATGTAAGAGGGGCATGGGGACATGACTAATGAACAGACGAAATGTTATTTTAGTGCCAAGAATGTTTTTCTTGTTTATTCTGAACCCTGTTTGGAAATTGGCATCTTTTGAAATTTGTGTGAAATTGGCAAAATTGCTAAATTCTGACCACTTTATTGGATAGTTGAAATCAATAAATGGGTGGTTTCTTGTACTCATTCAATAGAGAAAAATAGAGTTCTAGCGAAATAGTTATGATTTTTATCGACTAGTATACTGGAATTGGCCAAAAATAGGGCTCAAAATGCTCAAATCGCCGATGTGTAAACATCATCGAGACCACTAACTTTGCGAGAGCATAATTCCGTAAGTTTTCCATAAAATTTCATACTTTCGGTGTCATTATGATCGGGAAAAGATTCTCTATCTTTTCATAAGATTTTTTTTTTTTTTTTAATTTGTCGACCCTGAGAACAAGTCTGGGAGAGGGCCTGTCGCCCTGAAAGGGTTAATACAGTGACAATACTGTTACAACAGTGTTGGTAATACAACACTTACAGTGCCAACAAGTGTCATAAATATCTGCTAGTGTCATCCTTCTTATTCCTCAGACACACTGTTACCCTTACATGTTTAGTGCTTGCTATATTTATAATAATAGAATAATACAGTAATATTAGTTTTCTGTGTAATAAAACATTCTCAAATCTCCACTGGTTAAACAATTTAAATATGTGAAAACTTATTGTTCAATATGTCTAAAATACCTGAAAAAGAATGTGTTGAAGCAACAGAATGTACAGTTGTTCATGTAGGAGACCAGTTAGATCAACATTCACATGAAAAACAATGTGTTGAAGCAACACAATGTACAGATGTTTGTGTAGGAGATCAATTAGAGCAACATTCACGCTCACTCAAACAATCTTCACAACAACCTCAGCGTGGACATCTGGCCAAATTTAATATAGGCAGAAAAACATTTCAGTGTTCAGTGTGTCTAAAAGAGTTTTCTGAAAAGTATAACTTTCTATGGCACATAAGAACTCATACTGGAGAGAAGCCATATCGGTGTTCAGAATGTCTGAAAGACTTTTCTAGAAAATCAGATTTAGCAATACACATGAGAACTCATACTGGAGAGAAGCCATATCAGTGTTCAGAATGTCTGAAAGACTTTTCTAGAAAATCGGATTTAGTAATTCACATGAGAATTCATACTGGAGAGAAGCCATATCAGTGTTCAGAATGTCTGAAAGACTTTTATTGCAAAAAAGATTTAGAAAGACACATAAGAACTCATACTGGAGAGAAGCCATATCAGTGTTCAGAATGTCTGAAAGACTTTTCTAGAAAATCATATTTAGTAAGTCACATAAGAACTCATACTGGAGAGAAGCCATATCAGTGTTCAGAATGTCTGAAAAACTTTTCTATGAAATCAAATTTAGTAAGACACATAAGAACTCATACTGGAGAGAAGTCATATCAATGTTCAGAATGTCTGAAAGACTTTTCCAGCAAAAGACGTTTAGGAAAACACATGAGAGCTCACATTGGAGAGAAGCCATATCAGTGTTCAGAATGTCTGAAAGACTTTTCTGTGAAATCAAATTTAGTAAAACACATAAAAACTCATACTGGAGAGAAGCCATATCAATGTTCAGAATGTCTGAAGGACTTTTCTAATAATTCTCACTTAGTAAGACACATGAAAACTCATACTGGGGATAGGCCATATCAGTGTTCAGAATGTCTGAAAGACTTTACTAAAAGATTTCAATTAGAAAGTCACATGAGAAGTCATACTAGATAGAAAGCTTTCCTAGAGGTGGTGTCATGTTTCATGCACTAATATTTCTTCCTCTACCAACACTGATATTAAAGTAGGGAAGTATTTTTTGGGTCTGCTTGAAAGACAGAAGATAGTGGGAGCATATTAACTTTTTGACTGTCGCAGCCGTATATATACGTCTTACGAGGTACCGTGTTTGACGTATATATACTCATAAATTCTAGCGGCTTCAAATCAAGCAGGAGAAAGCTGGTAGACCCACATGTGAGAGAATGGGTCTGTGTGGTCCATGTGCACCATATAAAAAAAATCCTGGAGCACGCAGTCAGGGCCGGATTACCGCATAGGCAAACTAGGCATTTGCCTAGGGCCCCACGCATTTGGGGGCCCCGCAGTCCAAGGGGTTCAGGGGCTCATCCAAGACTGTGTACATGGTGCAAGTGCAAAGGGGTCCCTACCTAAAAAGTTCAAGTGTTTGGAGAGTAAAATTGAATTTTAAAAATTAATCAAAACAAAAATAAATAATGAAATAAAATAAAATAAAAATAAATAAACCTAACCATAGATGGCAACACTCAACACGCCTTTATTTACATCACAGAAGTGCCTGTGAATATAAACAATTCTTTACTTTCTTGAGTTTATATGATTTGATAGTCTTATGCATGATGCAATGATAACAATAATGGCCAGTGATTTATAAAGGGAATAATAGTGCTGTAGTGGTTATGCTGAATATAATAGGTACATGATGTCACTACTTTAATTAATAGCCTAATCTAGTAATACTATGCTGTCTTGAGTTTATTTTCTTTAAAATGCATGATTTAACAAGATAGTTATAATGGCTGTTGGTAAATGGTTTTGGTTGTCTTGATGTACTTTCCCTATTAAATTTAATCTAAATAGCCAGAATGTATTTAATTAGACCTTAAACAGGCTCACACCGACCCCCCACCCCCCCACCCCCAAGCTGGAAAGGGTCGCTTTGCTTACCCGTAACTCAAAGGGGCCCCGCCAATCTGAATAGCCTAGGGCCCAGAGACTTCTTAATCTGGCCCTGCAGGCAGTGCAAAATGAGAAAAAAAAAACTCCGACAGTTTTTTTTTTAATTAAAATGCCGACTTTGTGGTCTATTTTCGTATAGTATTTATGGTTGTATTCTCGTTTTCGTGGTCTCATTTGATAGAATGGAAAACATATTATAGAAATAGAGGTGATTTTGATTGGTTTTACTATAAAAAGAACCTGGAAATGGAGCTCAAAGTAGGGGAAATGTTTGATTTTTGCCAATGTTCAAAAGTAAACAAATGATGTCATTGTCCAATAAATGTCCAACTAGCCATTCTAATATGCATTCATGAATGGGTTGATGTTATTTATACAATTATTACAGTATTGCAGTAGTCTGCATAATAGTAGTCTTCTATTTTTTTGTTTGAATAAAAATTCAAAATAGAAAGCAAGAGTAATATCAGAGGGGCCTGGAGACATGACTGATGAACAAAGAAAATGTTGTTTTAGAGCCAGGAATGTCTGCATTGTTCATTCTGGACCTTATTTTGAAATTGTCATATTTTTTTAGTTTTTGTGAAATTGGCCAAATTGCAAATTTCTGACCACATTATTGGGTAGTTGAAATCAGTAAATGGGCAGTTTCTTGTACTCAATCGATAGAAAAAATGGAGTTCTAAAGAAATAGCTATGAGTTTGGTCTACTGGAACAACGGAATTAGCCGAAAATAGGGCTCAAAGTGGGCGAAATCGCCGATTTGTAAATATCGCCGAGGTCGCTAACTTCGTGAGAGCATAATTCCGTCAGTTTTCCATAAAATTTCGTTTTTTTTTTTTGGTGTCATTACAGTCGGGAAAAGATTCTCTATCATTTCATAAGAAAAATAATTTTTTTTTTTTTTGAAATTTTGCGACACCAGGAGACACCTCAGGATTGGGGGTTGCGACAGTCCAGGGGTTAATAGCAAACGACAGAAACACTAACAAACAAACATCATTTTGGGAGAAATTTTAGGCCATGGCATCAACAAAGCACTCCTTTACCATGTTGGATAAAATGTTTAATGTTGTCAAGAGTAGTGTGCAGATTGTCACAGTGCACAATGGTGGACAAGCTCATTATCTCCGTCACCATCACTAACAATACTACTGTCACAATTCATAAACATGTTTCAATTCTTGCAGTAGAACTTGTTTCACAACATACCTTAGCTCAGTGTGGTTTCCTAATGTGTGTACAGACATTATAGAGCAACTCAAACTCCATTACCTCCCAATTCTTGAGGTTGACACTTATATACTACCTGCCCCTGGATGGAGAAACTATCCTTATAGCCAAGTTAACTTATGACTGCTCTGAACTTCCATCATCTGTTTATATAGCAAGATGCCACTAACAAGTATGGGAATTTATATCTTTGTTGCAACAATGTAGAAATTGTGGGACTTTTCCCACCTGGCAAAAATTGCAGGTTGATGGCAGAGTGCCTGGTCTGTGGTGCTCCTGACCCTATCACTCCATCCTGTAGCCAACCTCCTACTAGTCTCCACATGTAGACTTTACTGACACTACCAGTTTACTTCTCTTCACAAAACATGATTTAATTAGAGTGTAATATTCGAAGCCTTGCTTAGCCAGGGTGAGCTTCAGGTGTTGCTTTCCCGGTTTTCCCATTTGTGTCTGTTTACAAGAGCCAAAATTGCACTCCTGTTATCCATCCCATCTTGGGCTGTTGCTTATTACTTTCATCCACTCCTTTTCCTGGTGGGAAATTTAATGAAAGTGCACTTTCGTATGCCATTTTACCAGATCTTTATTCATACTTCACTGCTTTGCACTGCAGCCCATATCTACTTGAACAAGTGGTATACAGTCTACTCATTGTATATTTCTCAACCATCCATTTCTGATGTTGAATTTCTGGTTTCTTCTCTACCTCCACCACACTTCTTGTTAGGCAATTTTAATGCTCATCATTTCCTCTGGGAAGGATCTCCCTGTGACTCATGATGACCGGTGAGAGGCTTTCTTCTCTCCCCCTTCATTTTGATCCTCGCACTCAAAGTCTTTATTGAATAGATTACTATTTGCTTCTCTTCAACTACACTCCACGTTACCCGATCTGTTGTCCCAGATTTACATGACAGTGATCATTTTCCTAAGATCTTTAATTTCCATACGTATTCTCGACCTCTTCATAAAACAAGTTATCAGTTGCAGTTTGTATGAATAAATTGGGCTGTTTATTTGTGTAAAACCATTTTTGATGAGCCTTCACCATTGCTGTCTTCTGGTGAGCTGTTAATTTTTTTAATGACCTATTTTAACCACATCTTCAAATACAATCTCCCAAACCTCAAAGAGAGAGAGAGAGAGAGAGAGAGAGAGAGACCAAGGAGACCACGGAGAGAGACCGTAACTGAGAGAGAACCGACTAGAGAACCAAACCGAGAGAGAGAGAAGACCGAGGACCGAGAGAGACCGAGAGACCGAGAGAGAGACCGAGAGAGAAGAGAGACCGAGAGAGAGAGAGACCGAAGAGAGAGAGACCGAGAGAGAGAGACCGAGAGAGAGAGAGAGAGACCGAGAGAAGAGAGACCGAGAGAGAGAGAGAGACCGAGAAGAGAGAGAGAGAGAGAGAGACCGAGAGAGAGAGACCGAGAGAGAGGAAGAGAGAGAGAGAGAGAGAGAGAGAGAGAGAGAGAGAAGAGAGAGAGGAGAGAGAGAGAGAGAGAGAGAGAGAGAGACAGAGAGAGACGAGAGAGAGAGAGAGAGAGAGAGACGAGGAAGAGAGAAGAGAGAGAGAGAGAGAGACAGAGAGAGAGAGAAGAGAGACAGAGAGAGGAGAGAGAGAGAGAGAGAGAGAGAGAGAGAGAGACAGAGAGAGACAGAGAGAGAAGAGAGAGAGACAGAGAGAGAGAGAGAGAGAACAGAGAGAGAGAAGAGAGAGAGAGAGGAGAGAGAGAGAGAGGAGAGAGAGAGAGAGAGAGAGAGAGAGAGAGAGAAGGAGAGAGAGAGAGAGAGAGAGAGAGAGAAGAGAGAGAAGAGAGACAGAGAGAGAGAGGAGAGAGAGGAGAGAGAGACAGAGAGAGAGAGAGACAGAGAGAGAGACAGAGAGAGAGAGAGAGAGAGAGAGACAGAGAGAGAGAGAGAGAGAGAGACCGAGACCGAGACCGAGACCGAGACCGACCGACCGACTGACCGACCGACCTGGATAGGCTATAAGCCTGGTCCAGCAATTGGCTCCTGGAATTTAACCCTGCCAAATGCAAAGTCATAAAGATCGGGGTAAGGCAAAGAAGACCACAGACAGAGTATAGTCTAGGTGGTCAAAGACTGCAAACCTTACTCAAGGTAAAAGATCTTGGGGTGAGTATAATATTAAGCACATCTCCTGAGGCTCACATCAATCAGATAACTGCTGCAGCATGCGGGCATTTGGCAAACCTAAGGACAGCATTCCGATACCTCAGTAAGGAATATTTCATGGCTGTACACCATATACGTCAGGCCCGTGCTGGAGTATGCAGCACCAGTTTGGAATCTACACTTGGTCAAGCACATCAAGAAACTAGAAAAAGTGCAAAGGTTTGCAACAAGAGCTAAGGGGATTGTCTTACGAAGAAAGGTTAAGGGAAACTGGCCTGACGACACTGGAGGACAGGAGGGTCAGGAGAGACATGATAATGATATAAAATACTGCATGGAATAGACAAGGTGGACAAAGACATGATGTTCCAGAGATGGGACACACAAACAAGGGGTCACAATTGGAAGTTGATGACTCAGATGAGTCACTGGAATGTTAGGAAGTATTTCTTCAGTCAGAGAGTCGTCAGGCAGTGGAATAGCCTAGAAAGTGACATAGTGGAAGCGGGAACCATACATAGTTTTAAGATGAGGTTTGATAAAGCTTATGGTGCAGGGAGAGAGAGAGAACCTAGTAGCAGTCAGTGAAGAGGTTCTCCCAGGCCCCTTTCTGCTACTGCACCTTGTTGCTGGTGCCGTTTCATCGCCCACTCCAGGTATTGAGGTTCCTCCTGACTCTCTTGATACATCCAACCTTCTCTCTTCTTTGACCATGCTTCTGGCTTCTCCCTTTATGGTGCAGCGATTTTTGGATTGCCCGCCTATTTCACGTTGGACCAACTCTGGTCCCACACCTAAATGCCCAAGACCATTAACTGATCATACTCCTTTACTTACTTCTCACTCTGCCCAGAAAAGACTGGCACAACACTCACTGCCCTTCCACGCTGTTTCAAAATACGCAATGGACTAAGTTTATTACTCTGCGGCCAACATTTTCTACTGACTATCTGATCATAGCAAGGTGTTCCTATGCCATGTTGATCAAGATACATCCTTTCATGCTCTCAAGAGTGGTGCACACAACGTCACTATAGAATGCTGACAAAGCTCGTGATCTTTCTCTCTTTACAGCTATCGATGCTATTCCTGTAACAATTGAAAAACATTATTCTCTCAATTCTTGTAGTGGTACTGCCATTGTACCTCAAACCATTGCCCAACATAATTTCCAGATAAGTGGTAATGGCATTCTGGAACAGCTTGACCTCCAAGACCTCCCAATCCTCAAAGTAGACACATATATCATACCTGCCTGCAGGTGGAGA